ATCATTTTTGGGATATAGCCTTTTTTTATTATTCCAGAATTTCGGTAAAAATTTTATGAAAATCGGACCACTATATCTTATAGCTGCCATAGGAACGATCGGGAAATTAATCGAAAAAAATTATAACTTCGTTGTTTTTCAACGTATTTTAATCTACTTTGGTACACAAGCTTCTGGTATTATTTCAGAATTTTGGTATAAATTTCATAAAAATCAGATGACTATATCTTATAGCTGCCATAGGAACGATAGGGAAAGTAATAGAAAAAATTATAACTTCGTTGTTTTCAACGTATTTTCATCTACTCTGAGATATGAGCTTCACTTATTATTCTAGAATTTTGGTATAAATTATATAAAAATCGGCCAACTATATCTTATAGCTGCCATAGATCGGTAAATGTATAAAATATATAAAGCTGGGAATGTATAACTGTAACTGTCAAACTGTAAACATAATAGGTATAGGTAAAATGTTATCAAACTCTGTTTAGTGTCTGTTTTCGGCATTATAATTTATGATATAAATATGAAAACCAATCTGCAAGTGTATACAAACTTCGGCGTGCCGAAGTTAGCTTCCTTTCTTGTTTCAAATCACTTACTCCAACTTAATAGCCCAAATCAGGATTATTTTTACATCATCCCTAAATCGAACCAAATCTTCAGTCCTGCCTTAAACGAAAGCTATCTTCTTTTAGATCTTCATTGTGTTAAGCCAGTTTTTTTTTTACCATGTCCCGATGGAATACTTGGCTGTGTGATTAGGAATTGTGTCGAAGCGCTGTGTAATCCCCTTCTCATATTGTTTACCTTATCCTTAGAAACCTCCCACTTTCCCCTTATTTGGAAGGAATCATTAGTTTTTCCTCTCCACAAAAAAGGTAGCAAATTGGAGGCCAACAATTACAGAGAAATCTCTAAGTTGTCGGCCATCCCAAAACTGTTCGAAAATGTTATTACTCCTCATCTGCAGCACCTGTGGAGGTCAATTATTCCTCCATGTCAACATGGTTTTTTTAAGCGAAGATCAATTACAACCAATCTTTTTGGAGTTCACATCCTTTATAATAAAGGGCTACCGAAATAACTTTCAGACAGATGTAATCTATACTGATTTCAATAAAGCACTTGACTCTGTTAACCATTCTCTTCTTGTTCGGAAACTCGATTTAATGGGATTTCCGATTGATCTTCTTAATTGGATCTCATGTTACCTAAATGGCAGGACGCAAAAGGTAATTTTTATACCCTTGCAGGGTATTATAATTTCAGTCAGAAGTTTGCAATGCAGTGAAGGAGACGTTTCCGACCCTATAAAGTATATATATATTCTTGATCAGCATCAACAGCCGAGTCGATCTAGCCATGTCCGTCTGTCCGTCTGTCTGTTTCTGCGCAAACTAGTCCCTCAGTTTTAAAGCTATCTGAATGAAACTTTGCTATAATCTTACTTATATACTTACTTATATACTCTCACTCCTATATATGTCGGAACGGGCCGGATCGGACGACTATATCATATATCTGCCATACAAATGTTCGATAAATTTTTAGAAAAAAAAGTATAACTTGGCTGTTTTTTTAACATTTTTGCACCATTTTTTAGATATAGCCATTTTATATTATTTTAGAATTTTTGGTGTTAATTTTATGAAAATCGGACGACTATATCATATAGCTGCCACCGGAACGATCGGGAAATTAATATGAAAAAAAAATATAACTTTGTTGTTTTTCAACATATTTTCATCTACTCTGAGATATGAGCTTTTGTTGTTATTTTAGAATTTTGTTGTAAATTTCATAAAAATCGGACAACTATATCATATAGCTGCCATAGAAGCGATCGGTAAATGTAGAGAAAATGTGAAGCTGTGAATGTAAAACTGTAACTGTCAAACTGTAAACATAATAAGTATAGGTAAAATGTAATGAAACTCTGTTTTGTGTGTGTCTTCAGCATTAGAATTTATAATATAAATATCAAAACCAATCTGCAAGGGTCTACAAACTTCGGCGTGCCGAAGTTAGCTTTTTTTCTTGTTAAAAATAAACTATCTAATTTTCTTAGGGTTACATCTGGCGTCCCGCAAGGGAGTCATTTGGGTCCCCTTTTGTATATATATAAAGTATATATATATTCTTGATCAGCATCAACAGCCGAGTCGATCTAGCCATGTCCGTCTGTCCGTCTGTCTGTTTCTGCGCAAACTAGTCCCTCAATTTTAAAGCTATCTGAATGAAACTTTGCTATAGTCTTACTTATATACTTACTTATATACTCTCACTCCTATATATGTCGGAACGGGCCGGATCGGACGACTATATCATATATCTGCCATACAAATGTTCGATAAATTTTTAGAAAAAAAAGTATAACTTGGCTGTTTTTTAACATTTTTGCACCATTTTTTAGATATAGCCATTTTATATTATTTTAGAATTTTTGGTGTTAATTTTATGAAAATCGGACGACTATATCATATAGCTGCCACCGGAACGATCGGGAAATTAATATGAAAAAAAAATATAACTTTGTTGTTTTTCAACAAATTTTCATCTACTCTGAGATATGAGCTTTTGTTGTTATTTTAGAATTTTGTTGTAAATTTCATAAAAATCGGACAACTATATCATATAGCTGCCATAGAAGCGATCGGTAAATGTAGAGAAAATGTGAAGCTGTGAATGTAAAACTGTAACTGTCAAACTGTAAACATAATAAGTATAGGTAAAATGTAATGAAACTCTGTTTTGTGTGTGTCTTCAGCATTAGAATTTATAATATAAATATCAAAACCAATCTGCAAGGGTCTACAAACTTCGGCGTGCCGAAGTTAGCTTTCTTTCTTGTTAAAAATAAACTATCTAATTTTCTTAGGGTTACATCTGGCGTCCCGCAAGGGAGTCATTTGGGTCCCCTTTTGTTTACATAATTTCTGAACGATCTGCCCGAAGTTTTGACCAACTCCAGAGTTCTTATGTACGCTGATGACGTCAAGCTTCAGATCTTAACAATTTTCAAACATGGTGCCGCGTGAACTTATTAAACTTAAATGGATCTAAATGCAAATGCTCTTTGGAAAATTTAATATAGTTGATGATTTGGGTGTACGTCTGTATCCTAAACTTGACTTTATCGATCATATTTTGCGCATGGTGAATAAAGTCAGGGGTGTGCTTTGTTTCATTAAGCGGAGGTCGAAGGAATTCAATGACCCCAGTGTTACAAAATCTTTATATACATCACTTGTTCGTCCTATCTTAGAATATGGATCCTGTGTTTGGAGCCCTTAGTATGGCGTCCACAGTAAACGCATAGAATCGGTTCAAAAGAACTTCTTACTTTTCGCTTTACGCGGTTTAAGCTGGGATGCTAACCAGAGGTTACCGTCTTATTCTAGTATACTCTTACTAATTAACTTACCCTCCTAATCTAATCGTAGAACCATGCTAGGTATTACATTCTTATGGCAGTGGAAAGTACTGATGTGCTGGGTGAGCTAAATTTTCACGTACCAATAAGAAACACTAGATCCCTTTTACCATTAGTTTTGCCCCACTGTAGAACATCCTTTGAACTGCATGAACCCTTTAGAGTCCTCTGTGCAAATTATAATGATGACTAAAAACTTTAATCTTAACCCACTTAGTAGGCATGCAAGCAACCAATCCAGCAGCACGCCAGTAGTAGTTTCCTCGCAAGAAATAAAACCACCCTAATAAGTACAGATAATATGGAAATCGACCTTATCTATGAATAATAAAGATTAAGATTATTTTCCTTATACCTCTTGAGCTCCTATTGAATTTAACTTGTCGTTGATAACACCTGTGTCTGGTACTCCGTGTTAGAAAAAAATATACATTTAAAAATTAAGCAATATCAATAAAATAACAGTTTTTTTTTCTTCAACGTTTTCAAATTATGATTTTTAGTCCACTTTTTCGATTAATTTATTATTTGTGTTTCAGTGCTCATTCAATGGGTTTACAGAACGATTTGGTAAGAATAAATAACCCAGATATATGACAAGAATATTCCCAAAATATAAAGATATACATTGAAAAATATTTTCTTATTAATTTATAAATCATAAATTATTTATAGATACAGTTTTAAAATTTTCAACATACAATGATGAATTCAAATAAATTTTTTTTTTAATAATTAAATCTTATTTTTAAATTATATTGTAGCTAAAAAAATGTGAAGATGTTACCACTAAAATTGGTGATGGTACGGCCTACTGGAATTATAGAAAAAGTTATACAAGAATTGAAGATCTTGTTTGCCTCAAACGTAAAAATCAAATTTTAATACGTACGTGCGACATTAGTACTGGTCATTTGAGTCTAGATAAAATAGGCTGTAAAGAACTAAAATTTCCTAAAATGCACTGCCCTGATGACCTTTATGAAATTCGATTACCTCACGGTGGCATACATTGTTTAAAAATTTCACGTACTATTCAAGCATACAACGAACATTTTTGCTACGGCTCAAATATAATTATTCCAATGGATTTGACAAAACAGGATGTTTCAAAAATTTTACAGTTTTTGATTAAAAAGAATATAACTGATTACTGGTTACCAATAAAAAGAGAAAATGCCTTTATGCCATTTGCAGTACGTTTACCAGGAAGATCATGGAAAAATATTATTAGTCCCAATTTAATATCGGTTAACGAGTCTGACGAACACTGCATGAAGCACGCATTTTATAATGAAAATAAATACAATAATATTTTGTTGACTGAAAACTGTATGACTCCCTTAAATATAGTTTGTGTGTTTAAGTACGATTTGCCAAGTACCTTTGGTGGTATAGTCAATCGACCAAATGAGTTTTATTGTATCGATTGGTGGACTGTAGATAATCACGTTCATACTGAACAATATTCATCCAATATATTTAAACGAGTAGTATCCAAGTATGTGTTGAATGATGAAATAAAAAAAACTTTAAATTTAAATACATTTACGATAATCTTGGTAATAAATGTATGATTATATCGAACACATATAACATGATACACGGTGTAAACAAAAGCTTGCATGGGCTTCCGTCATTAAGTAAAAGTATAATAGGGTCAACAAGTTCAATAGAAATAAAAATGATATTAAAAATGGATGATCGTGATAAACAGTTAACTCTTGTGATATATAATCGAAAACATTTATTCTTAAGTAATGAACACGATATTGGTGTACAATGTTTTACCTACAAAGCGCACGGCATATCAAGAAAGGTTAAGATTGTCATTGTTTGGGAAAACGAAGATCAGAGTCATTCAATTGGGAAAATTTTCCTGGTTTCGAATTATTCTAGCGAATATTGGTGTGAAGGCCACAGTATATTTGATTTCCACTTAGTTACCACTCAAAAATTCGTAGTTCTTGGAAACCTTTGTCACGATTTTGTTATACGTTGGAATGTCTCATGTATCCATAAAAATAAATTATTTGGTTTGTGTAACATTTCACGCATGGGTCCAACACAAATGGTTAACATTGTATGTGATCTTTTAGAAAAAATAAAAACCAAAACTATCTTTGATAAAATTAAGGTAAAACAAGTCAGAGTTATGAACATTGAGAGGAAACCAAATGACTTTTTCGTGTATCGGATTCATATAATTGTAAATTGGGAAGCAAGAGAAGTATATACTATTTCTCATAAAATCCAACAGACAGACCAATCTGTTAAAAATAAATTAAAAAAAAAATCAAATTTGCATAGGTATATTATTACAATAATAAAAGCATTAAATACATATGTGAATAAGAACTTCACTATACGCCATGCTGAGTACTGTTTTACAGAACGGGCTTTTCCGAACGCTGTCATAAAAGCCAACTTGATGAATACGAGTTTTGGAGAAATAGAAACAACAAAACTATTATGTCTTCAAAATAATGGTATGCCGTATACTCGACAATGCCAAGGTGACTTTTTACGTGAAGCATATTGGTATAAACTTACTCAGCAAGTCCTTTGTAAAAAAACTAAAAATATTACGAACATTCTGTTTAATATATACAACTCAAATTTTCATATCTTTGATCCAGAACAAGTTTTAAAAAAAGTTATTGACGTCATTTCTGAAAATGATAATTTACTAATTGCTTTAGATATACATATAATTTCCAAAATTATAAAACTAAATTTCAAAAGGCTTACGTTACTAAATTCGAAGATTTCTAAGATAAATATTGGCACTGTTACATGGAAAAATGCAATTTGTGCAGTTATAAAAGTTTACAATTCCCTAACAGATATTAAAACGGAGGTTTTAAGGATGTCAGCCAAATTTAACTCAACAAACAAATTATTGGAGTCTTTTGAACAGTCAATTGACACTCTTTCAATTTTATCGTTGTCAAATAAAACAATGTCTCGTGGTAAAGATTTTGGCTTTATATTTAATAATGATATTATAGACTATCAAGACATTGGGGTGTCGGTAAAAATTTCGAAAAATCTTTTATATTTCTTAATTAACCCAATTATTGCTAATGTTTCTGGAATAGCTTTGTTTTCAAAAAAACGTTCTGGAAAATTATCTCAAAAATCATTAATTCATGAAAAATATCGTTTTCTGCAATCGAATCATGAAACAAGTGACTTTTTCAATGAACCAAACCTACAACTTGGCGTATATCTACCCGAAAATCTTCTTAGCCGCATAAAATCATGTCCAGATTTTTCAAAATCGATATATAAAAGCGTCCCTCTAATTATTTTTAAGGTATACTCTAATGACAAGCTTTTTCAACAGAACAATAGGAAAAAAAATTATCTCCAGTCGTATAATATCAATATCAATACCTGGGTACAGTGCGAAGCTTCCCGTACCAATTCCTCTTATTATACGGAAAAATAAAAGCCACAAGCTAAGCAGTTCAGACTCTTGCCACTACTGGAATTATAGAAATTGGGCAAACGATGGTATAACGATGGTGGAGAAATCTGGAGAAAATGATAATATTGTGCTGTGCTCTTTAAAACATTTATCACATTTTGCTTATCTTGTTGAGCATAAACTTGCATCAGGTGGGGATAGTGAGCAAGAATTTTATGACGAAATTATGGACACTGTAATGAAAGCTGGATGCATGATTATATTTACAGGAATGTGTTTAACTTTAATGACTGTTTTAAAATGTAGTTTTTAAAATTTAATTAAACTTTCTTCACCTATTGTTTTGCTACTGATTTAGTTTGAATTTGTTGTACAAAATTATTAAAAATAAAAAACTGTAATATATGAAAATGTTGTATTTGTTTATAAGTATCGAACTATTATTAAATAAAATGCTTTTATATATCTTATGTTTTCTTTATTTTCTTCTTCTTCTATTTATTTCTCTTTTAGTTGTTTGGTATAATAAGTAAGAGCAAGATGACCATATGGCAAAGAAATTTCTAAATTGGAAGTTCTAATGCATTGACAAATCAACAGATCTACGAAATATATACTAAATACATTTTAGTGCAATAACTGACAAAAATACTGCTCTAAAGAGAACAATATAAGAAGCTAACTTTAGACCGACGAAGTTTTTTTACCCTTGCAGTTTGCAATTTTATATCCCAATCAAATACAAAGTAACGTAAACTTTAAAAACACCTTTATTTACAGTTTTACATTCATAGATTTGCATTTTTCTTGTTATTTTTTTTTTTATTATTTTTTATTTTTTTGCGCGGGGTTTCGGTTCTACCTCCCGCCCAACCGACCGAGGGGCGCAGCCGTGTGACGTACGGCACGAATCGCGAACTAGATAGACGCGGTGAATGAAGGAAGAAAAGAACGAGGAAACGTTACAAGAAACAAAATTTAATAAGGGGAACAAAAAATATAATATAATAAAAATAGTAATAATTAAGTAATAACGCATGCAAAATAAATATAAAAAATATAATATAATGTAACTAAATAATAACTACGATGAATAAATAAAAACGCATGCAAAGTAAATATAAAAAAAAAATAATATAATGTAACTAAATAATAACTACGATAAATAAATAAGAACGCATGCAACATTAGACTACGGTGATACACTACGAGCTAACTCAACAAGTATTAAAGTTTTTAGTACAGAAGGGCTATCGCTACGAATTATAATGTCAGAGAGGCGGTTGTAATCCGTACATAAAACCCTAAAGGGTTCATGCACTTCAAACTCCCGCCTACAGTGATTTACTACTAAAGGGATAAGGGTTCTAGATGTTAGTCGGAGAACGTGGAAATTGAGCTGCCCTGAGAGAAAAGGGCTCTCAACATCACCGTTTATTAGGTTATGGAGGAATACGACACCAAGCATCGTTCTACGGTTAGCTAGGGAGGGTAAGTTAATTAATAGGAGTCTACTTGAATAGGACGGTAGCCTCTCATCAGCATCCCAAGGTAGGCCACGGAGGGCGAAAAGTAAAAAGTTCTTTTGTACAGATTCAATACGGTTAATATGGATTCCGAATTGAGGACTCCAGACGCATGAACCATACTCCAATATAGGGCGAACTAACGAAGTAAAAAGGGTCTTCGTTATATAAGGGGAATCGAATTCCTTCGACCACCTCTTAATGAAACCGAGCATGCCTTTGGCTGTATTAACCATGCACGAAATATGTTCAGAGAACGAAAGTTTAGGGTCTAAGCGAACGCCTAAATCATCAACAAGAGATATTCTTTCAAGAGCTTGCATTTAGAGCTATTGAGATGTAATAAATTAGCACGACACCATGCTTGAAAGTTATTAAGGGGGGACGTCTGAGTAACTTTTTTTAAAAATCGAAAAATTTTTTTTTTTTGCTTAAAAAATACTTTAGGGTCTTAAAAATAACATATCAAAAGATAGAGTCCGGCAAAAGTTTCTAAGTGTTGAAATTTTCCATTCTGCGGCGATGCCTTACATGTAATCATATACGATTTTAAAACTTTAAACGCGTTTATCTCAAAACCACTTTTTTTGAGTTGGCCGGAAACCTAACTCGAACAAATCTTAACCGATCGATCTGAAATTTTGACAGTATATTCAAAATACCTATGGCTATCGACACACGTAGGATTTTTTTTTTTTTTTTGCTTACTTTTTTTTTAATCAACAATTTTGTGACGTTTTTTTCTCATGAAAATTGAAAATTTTATTTAATCACACACCATTTTGCTAAAAATCAAAATATCGAAAAAATCCTACGTGTGTCGATAGCGGTTGAGATATAGAATCTAACAAAATTTGATTTTTTGTTCTAGATCAAAAATTAAGGACGTTAGGTTTCCGGCCATGGACCCCTTTCAAAAAAATAGGGCCTACGAAGAAATGCTGCACAGCCGCCATTTTGTTTTCGATTTATTAAAAAAAAATGTATTTTGTACTTCACATATAACATTATCAAACCTACTTAAAATTTTTTCGATTTGCCTTTTCATTTGGCCAAAAAAAATTCTTGAAAATCGGCTTTTTTTTGGCCAGTTACTCAGATGTCCCCCCTTAAGATCCGATTGCAGGTCTGACTGGCAAGAGCTGTCCTTATACTGAAAGCATAGCTTAACGTCATCAGCGTACATAAGTACTCTAGAATTCGTTAGAACCAGCGGGAGGTCATTGATAAACAATGTAAATAGCAGCGGGCCGAGGTGGCTACCCTGTGGGACGCCAGAAGTGACTCTGAGGAATTTGGATAGAGCATTTTTAAACAGAACCTTTTGAGTTCCGTTACTCAAATAGCTCAAAATCCATTTAAGAAGATCGACAGGAAAGTCAAGCTTCCTTACAAGAAGAGAGTGATTAACCGAGTCAAAAGCTTTACTGAAGTCTGCCGAAGTTAGCTTCCTTTCTTGTTTCAAATCACTTACTCCAACTTAATAGCCCAAATCAGGATTATTTTTACATCATCCCTAAATCGAACCAAATCTTCAGTCCTGCCTTAAACGAAAGCTATCTTCTTTTAGATCTTCATTGTGTTAAGCCAGTTTTTTTTTTACCATGTCCCGATGGAATACCTGGCTGTGTGATTAGGAATTGTGTCGAAGCGCTGTGTAATCCCCTTCTCATATTGTTTACCTTATCCTTAGAAACCTCCCACTTTCCCCTTATTTGGAAGGAATCATTAGTTTTTCCTCTCCACAAAAAAGGTAGCAAATTGGAGGCCAACAATTACAGAGAAATCTCTAAGTTGTCGGCCATCCCAAAACTGTTCGAAAATGTTATTACTCCTCATCTGCAGCACCTGTGGAGGTCAATTATTCCTCCATGTCAACATGGTTTTTTTAAGCGAAGATCAATTACAACCAATCTTTTGGAGTTCACATCCTTTATAATAAAGGGCTACCGAAATAACTTTCAGACAGATGTAATCTATACTGATTTCAATAAAGCACTTGACTCTGTTAACCATTCTCTTCTTGTTCGGAAACTCGATTTAATGGGATTTCCGATTGATCTTCTTAATTGGATCTCATGTTACCTAAATGGCAGGACGCAAAAGGTAATTTTTATACCCTTGCAGGGTATTATAATTTCAGTCAGAAGTTTGCAATGCAGTGAAGGAGACGTTTCCGACCCTATAAAGTATATATATATTCTTGATCAGCATCAACAGCCGAGTCGATCTAGCCATGTCCGTCTGTCCGTCTGTCTGTTTCTGCGCAAACTAGTCCCTCAGTTTTAAAGCTATCTGAATGAAACTTTGCTATAATCTTACTTATATACTTACTTATATACTCTCACTCCTATATATGTCGGAACGGGCCGGATCGGACGACTATATCATATATCTGCCATACAAATGTTCGATAAATTTTTAGAAAAAAAAGTATAACTTGGCTGTTTTTTAACATTTTTGCACCATTTTTTAGATATAGCCATTTTATATTATTTTAGAATTTTTGATGTTAATTTTATGAAAATCGGACGACTATATCATATAGCTGCCACCGGAACGATCGGGAAATTAATATGAAAAAAATATAACTTTGTTGTTTTTCAACATATTTTCATCTACTCTGAGATATGAGCTTTTGTTGTTATTTTAGAATTTTGTTGTAAATTTCATAAAAATCGGACAACTATATCATATAGCTGCCATAGAAGCGATCGGTAAATGTAGAGAAAATAGCTTTTGACTTTCATAGCGAACGGTCGTGTTTTTGTTTTGCGCTCCGAACTTTTGTGTTGTTTTGCATTTAAACCACCGGGGTCCAAATTTTAAATTGTTAAAATACAATTCGTAATTTTGCCGTTTCGCTACGCGAGTGCATGTGCATGTGGCTTTCAGTGTTTAATTAATATATATATAATTAATCAACTTTAGTTTTCGTGTTTTTGCGTTTTCTTATCCCCTCTTTGTGTTGTCCCGTTTATTTGCTTCTAGCAGCAGCATTTAACCGGCTCCAAAGCTTTCGTGTTTCTCTTCTCACCCACGCTTACGCTCCCGCTCTCTTGTTTTTCGGTACTGCTTATCTGCGCACCGTGGGTAAAGACTAGTGAAAATGGTTCCAAATATGATTTGTGATATTAAAGGCTGCCAAAAGGAGGTTTTGGCAGATCAGCCCAGCCTTTACTGCTGGCTTTGCGATGCGGTCGTTCACGCTAAGTGTCTAAGCTTAACGGGCCGTATCGCTGACGCAATTTCGGCCAAAAATGGCTTGCGCTATTGTTGCCATGCCTGTCGTGAGGTGGAGAAGGATATGTTATCCTTCATGCGGCAAACCAAAAGCGGTTTTAGTGAACTTAGGGTCAACTTCCGCAAAACAAATGACCTGTTCACAGCGCTGGACGCTCAATTTAGCGGCATGAAGCTGCTAAGCGAGTCACCAAAGCGCAAAAAATCTGCTGCTGGTCGGCTGCAATTGGGCGAACCCCAGCCACCAAAGATTTGGCACACTCCCTCGGCACAGCCCCCGTCACCGACACCAGCTCCAATGGTGTTAAGATCGGGAACGGCTAAAGATTCGGCATTCGAAGGT